GCGTAGGTCCTTACAGCGATCCATTTTTTAGTGAGGGACCTTCTTCGTTGAAAGACAACTGTTTGAAGACCCTGAAGCATGTCAAAACATTGTCGTCGGGAGTCCACCGCCACGGATCAACCTGACTGCTGCGTATTGACAACCCTGGATCTTGCCACAACGCCATTCCCAGGACTTGAACATCGCGAATCAACATGACTTGTGCACCCTCATAAGCCAGAGTCCTTGCAAAACGTTATTTCTGGTACGTTGACCACGGGAATCCGTGAAACTCTTGTGCATTTTTAAGACGAGTGCGCGCGGCGCTCAGGCGAGAACCACATTTTGAAAAGGAGACGTTTCAATTCGCGGAACTCTTGCAATTTTTACGAATGTGCGCGGTGAGACGAATGTGTGCGGCGCTGAAGCGAGAACCACCTTTTGAAAACGACGCTGTCTTACAAATTTTGTGACGAATGTGCACGGCGCTTAGGCGATAACCACATTTCGAAAACCACCCGCCTTCAATCAGTGAAACTCTTGCACATGATTAAGACGAGTGTGCGCGGCGCTAAGGCGAAAGCCACATTTTGGAAACGACCCGTCCTCCATTTGTGAAACTCTGGTCTCTTAAGCTTCACAGTCATCGCTGGTGAGGACGTCTCAGCCGAAACGCCCGGCCCGCCCAAAAACTGGCCTCGGGGTGCGACAGGGAAAAGTTGTTTAATATGAGGAGAAGGAATGGTCAGGTCAGGTCAGGTCAGGTCAGGCATTCCTCGAAAGCTCCTCGTGAGAAGGCTACCAGGGGGGTGAGGCACATAAGCCGCAGCCCAGAGGCCCAAGCGTGGGCCAGCAGAGAAAAACTCAGAAGGGCAATTCAGCCAGGAGTCTGGGTCAATCATAACACATGTTTCCCCCTTCCCCTCCTCCTACTCCTCCTCCTCCTCCTCCTCCTCTTCCTCGGCCCAAACGCCGTAGAGGGTCAGGAGGAGGGAGCAGTCCAGGACCTGCCGCGCGTCTGCGGGCGGTCGGGCGGGCGCGGCACGGGACGCCGTCGCGCTGCCGCCGCTGAGGGGGGAGGTGGGACTCAAGAGGGAAGGGTCAGGGGTCGGAGGGAGAAGAGGGAAGGGGACGGAGAGTCGACGGGAAGGCCGCCGTCGACGGTACATGAAGGCAGCATAAGAGACACCCGCCACGTCAGATCTGGAAAGGCAGACACTCCCACCCCCACCCTAGATCATAGTATAAACAGACCTGCCCCGCCACGGCCCCCACGAATTAGAAATCGCGAGGGTAAACCATCTGTGCAGATCACTCTGCACTAGGACGGGTTCCTGTGTCTGTTCAGGCAGGAGATTAGAGGAAGCTGAACTGGGACACGCCTACGCTCTCTGGAGCGGGCCCGCCTCCTCCTCAAGGCCTCAGCTCTGTTAGCCGCGATCCTCTCACGAACGTCCGAGGGAAGAGGCAGGGGCGGAGGTGGGGGAGGGACAAAATCCGAGGAGGGTGGGCACTCTCCAAAGGCGGTAAACGACGCTTCCCCAGCTGCGAATCCACGCATCGCAACCGAGTGGATGCCTTCCAACTCCTCTTCCTCATTAGGACTCCTCCGTCCCTGGTCTGGTCTGGTCTGAGCACAGCTGAAACGCGAGCTAAAGCAGACTTAGGCTTGGGGACAGCTGGTGGCGCAGCAAAATCGGGCCCCATAACGGGTGCAGTTCGGTCAATATTGTTAGAGTCAACGAAGAAACGGAACAAATCTTTAGCCTCACTGGCTTCCTCGGCACCTTCCAAGACAGCCGACTGCCCGAAAAGCGAGGGAAGAGTAGCTTTCAACATCGCAGTGGCTAAAACGGTACAGCGCTCTGGCGGGTACACTTTTTTGGGGGCCGTCTTCCACTTTTTGAGAACAGGATCTAGCCCTACCATGGCTGAGTGTGCACGCGCGCCATGGGTGCAGTAACCTCCACCTGGGGTGCTACGCAACAGCGCTGGGAGATCGGGGAGACGAATGCCTAAAAGGGCAATGGGGGCTCTCCCGAATTTTTGGCCAAACTCACATTGATCAAACGTGGTGAAGGACGAGCACGGGGCTGCCATGAGGGCCTTGAGGGGGAGGAGGCTCCACGAGGGCACCGAGCGAGGCTCCCAAGACGGGGGGGGGTGGATGCTCCATTCACACACGCCCCTGCTCAACTGTCATGATGCACAATAGATCGACCATGGACTGTTGCAAATCATTAGAGACAGCAGCCTGAATATGTTGCCTGGTCGTGAGCTCCGTCACTCCCCGCGGGGCTTGCCACGTCCTAAGAGGAGGGGGGGCCCCTTCTCCCCACCGTGCAGCACATAGCGTTTCACAAGGCGGCCCCCCTCCTAGCGCAATGATGCGCCCCGCGCGAATGTGCGCGGAAAAACAATCGATGGAATTGCTTCCTCTTAGATCACAGAGGTCTGCATCCAGCAGGATGTCCACAGACAACACGACCAACTCAAAGGAAGGGGTGTCGGTCGCCATGGCCAATTCAATGGCCTCTTGAACATCTCCAGATCTTCGCTGTCCACAGAAGAGGTTGACAACAAACACCTGTCTGCGCAAAATGCGCTTAGGAACCTGGACACGCAGGATGCCAGAAAAATCTGAGGCCTCAAACGGCCACTCAATTTCAGATGGTTTGGGATCCCAGGCGACCTCAGGCTCATCTAAAACGTGGGGCACAAGAGACCGCCTGGACCAGCCCGTGATCTGCTCGACCAAGTCTGAGATAAATTTGTGGGCCGCTGCTCGAGGATAGTTGGCCTGAACTGCAACCGCCGCCAAAGGTAGGGGCCAAGGGGGAATTAAAGAACGGAAGCGGCCTCTTAAGGCCGAATAACCTTGGCCCCGACGCGCCTGATTCTGTTTTTTTTTAGCAGCTAGCTCGCCCCGAACCCGCTGAGGCAGCGGTGGAACGTGCTTAAGATAAAACACCAGGCAAGTCGGCCTCCAGGCCG